GTAGGGTTGCTATGAGTTGAAATCAACTCAACAGCACTTTGCAACAACAGGCTCAGAGCTGAGTGCTTAAAAGGTATTATTTCATTTGCTTTTTGTTTATGATCATATGGGAATGATATACCTACCTGATAGGTGAGGGAATTACAGCTCAGTGACCTTAGTTATTTGCCCCAGCTCATGTGGTGAGTGGCAGATCTAATATTCTTACCCACATCAATTTTATTCTGGAGTTCATGCTTAAAATCTTAAGGTTAACTATGGTACATACACACAATGGAATGTGTTAGTTGCAACACTAAAGAATAACGTAGACTCTACAAAACACTGCATAACATGGATGAACTTGGAGGACATTGTGCTGAGTGAAATATGTCAATCACAGAAGGACAAATATTGTATTAGTTCATTATTGTTAAAAGTCAAGGAAAGGTATATATATGGAAGGAAACTTTCTTTGTTGGTTACCAGGGAGGGAATACTGAAAAAATAAATAATAAAAAAAGAATTAGGTTTGAAAAGTGAAAATCTGATGTTAAAGAAACAGGCATTTACAGTGGCCAAAACCCTTTGCCAATGAGTTGAATCTGACTCATGGTGACCCTATAGGACAAAGTAAAACTGACCCATAGGGTTTCCAAGGTTATAAATCTTCATGGAAGCAGAGCGCTCCATCTTCCTCCTGTAGAATGGCTGGGGGGTTCAAACTGCTGACCTTTTGGTTAGCAACCAAATGCTTTTAACTACTATGCTACCAGAGTTTCTTATAGTGGCCAAGGGAAACATAATTTTTTTTTTCTCTTTTAGATGAAATTTTCTTTTGCCCTGGGAAATCAAGGCACTTATTACCCACATGATCTTGGCCTTGGTCTGAATTTGGACTCAGGAGTGGGCTCTGGAATGGTCCTCAGCTTGGAAAATGAACTGGTTCCTGGAGGAGGATTTCTGATTGGACCTGGAGAAGCACATGGCTTTGGACATGAAGTGGGCCATGGTGTGGGTTATGAATTGAGCCACAGCCATGGAGGTAGTAATGGAATGAATTATGGTGGGAATCATGGACATGGAGGAGGCCATAACAATAGTCATGAAATGAATCACAGAGGAGGCCACAGAGGAAGCCATGAAGGAGGTCATGGTAGCACAAGGGGACTGTGGCCATAGACTGGATTGGAGAATATTATGGGGAAAGAGATCTTGGGGGGGAATGGTTCATAGAAGAGAATAATCATGGGCATGGAGTACAAAAATGTTCCCAGAGAGTTAATCAATAGAAATTGTCATGACCTAGGTCAAGAAAAGAACCAATAAAGAGACCACAGAGACCTTGAACAACATTGGAAAAAGACAAGCAGAGAGTGGTTCTAGAGGAGACACAAAGTTTTACCAGAGTTGGAAATGACCTCAAGTAAAATCTTCCATGAGTTCTGCCCAAATCTTAGACTCTATTATAGGAAGTCACAGTGATATTTTCAGAACAGTTTATCTCCCATCTCCCACCATCAAAGTCATGGTCAATGTTTCTGATTCCTGTGTTTCCCCAGGATGCTATCAACATTACAGTAACATCTCTAAGAAATAAAAGCGCATAATGAATGCTAACCAGAAGGCTGGCGGTTCAAACCCACCAGCCACTCCTCGGAAGGAGGGTTGGGCAATCCTACTTCGGTAGTGATACTGCCTCAGAAACCCAAGGAGGGGTCGCTATGAGTCGGGGCCGACTCGACGGCATATAAAAACAACAACAACAACAATGAATGTATTATCAGGACCACATGTTTACTTGTTTTTCTATTTGTTCCTTCTGCTTTCTTTGTGAGGTTATTTTGTTTTATTGTGATTTTAGTGCTTACCATGTACCAAACAGGGTCCTAGGAGGCTTGAAATACACAACCATCTAATCCTCAAAACAAAACAAAATCCAATGGAAATAATATATTTATGGCCTTGAGGTAGGCAAAGATATTTTTTAAAGGACACAAAAAATACTAACTATTAAAGAAAATTTTGATGAATTAGACTTCCTTAAAGCCCAGTATCAGAATATAGCATTAAGAGAGTGAAAAGGAAGCTAAAGACTGGGAGATGATATTTGCAATAAATACAGCTGACAAAGGACTCATGTCCAGAATACAGAAAGAACCATAAATCGACAAAAGACAGACAATACTATTTAAAAATAGACAAGAGATTTGATAAATGTTTCACAAAAGAGGAAATAAAAATGGTCAATAAATATTTGAAAAGGTGGTCAATATCCTTGTTTATCATAAAAATAGAAATTAAAACCATAATTACTGAACTTCTGTTAGGGCTGATGGAAAAATTTGAGAACAGTTAATAGTGATGGTTGAACAACATGAATGTAATTAATGTCACTGAACTGTATAAGCAAAGATTGTAGAAATGGCAACTGTTATGTTACTTATAAGCTTATACCAAAAAACAGAACAAACCTATTGCTATCAAGTCAATTCCAACTCACGGCAACTCCATGTAGCACAGAGTAGAACTGCTCCATGAAGTTTTCTTGGCTATAATCTTTATGGAAGCAGATCTTCAAGGCTTTCTTGCATGGAGCTGCTGGGTGGGTTTGAACCACCAACCTTTAGATTAGCAGTCAAGCACAAACCATTTGCCTTACCCAGGGATCTCCTTATATACTTACCACCAAAAAAAAAAAGGAAGGAAAAAAGAATCCTACTGGCCTATACTACAGATTTCGGACTTGCCATTCCCTACAAACACGTGATACTTAAAATAAATCTTTTTATTATATATTTTAAAAGCACACATGCACAATGAGATACCACTACACACACAAACCATAATAATTAAAATTTAAATGACTGACAATACTAAGTGTTGATACGAATGTTGAAAACAAACTCTCCTACATTGCTTGCAGAAGCGCAAATTGATGTAATCATGTTTAGAGAACATATGGCCATACTTATAAAATTAAGTGTACATTACATTTACCCTATGACCTAGCAATTCCACTCACGAGTATATATGTACCAAAACAACCAAACTCACTGTCATCAAGTTGATTCTGACTCATCACAACTCTCACTGGGTTTCCAAGGCTGTAAATCTTTATGGAAGTGGCTGTTGGGTTCAAACCACCAATTTTGTGGTCAGCAGCCAAAAGCCTTAACCACTACACCAGCACACACACACACACACACACACAAATCATGGCTATCAAGTTGGTTCCAACTCATAATGAGCACCATTGGGTTTCCAACTCCAAATCTTTATGGAAGTAGATTGCCCCACCTTTCCTCCATGGAGCCTCTGGTGGGTTTGAACCATTGACTGACCTTCTGATTAGCAGTCAAATGCCTTACACACCATATCACTAGAGCTCCTTACTACACCACCAGGGCTCCTTAAATATTCAGTAGAAGTGAATACTTATAGCCATCAAAAGGCATGCATTATAGCAGCTTTATTCATAACAGCCTCAAACTATAAATTACCAAAATCTCCATGAACAGTTAAAAAAAAAAAAAAAAAAAAAAAACTCATTGCCATTGAGTTGATTCAACTCATAACAACCCCTCCTTGGGTTTCTGAGGTGGTATCTCTACGGAAGTAGATTGCCCAATCTTCCTTCCAAGGAGTGGCTTGTGGGTTTGAACTGCCAGCCTTCTGGTTAGCAGTCAAAGGCCTTAGGCACTACACCACCAAAACTCCTCCACTAACAGTAGAATGGGCAAATGAATTATGATATATTCATATAACTGAATGTTACCCAAGAGTGAAAAAAAGAATAAACTACTAAATCATGCAATAGCATCAATGAATCTCTGTGGTTCAGTGAATTACTTAATATGGTTCTTCTGGGCATGGTCTTTGTGACTCCCACCAAATGACTGGGTGGAAACTTCAAATGTGACATGTTCATGGCCCCTCAAGGGGACTGGATCACCTATTAGTAATGTAAATAAGGTACATGGCACTCTTGTGTGGTTGGTACCATGCAAAGAATGTGTATGGAACCCTGAAATTGGGATTGGTCAGTTTTGCCATCCCTCTAAGTTTAAAATGAGCCATCCCAGAGTGAAAAGGGGGAATATCACTGCCATCAAGAGAGAGGAAACAGGAATGGAGCACATCGTGGACCTGGGACCCCACTGCTGAGATTGCAGAGAGACAGCAGTTTCTACGGCAGCACAACCAAGAGATCAGCATGAGAAAGAGTGTCAGCCTTTCCAGCCCATGGAGCAAGAAAGCTGAGTGTCTTCAGGCAGGAGGCTTATTGATGGAGTGGGATGCCTCTTTGGACACCTAACTGCAAAGCTAAAAGACCTTTGTAAGACGCCCAAGTGAAGCAGAGGCCAAGGCCAAAGAGAAACATGCCTGTGGCACAGTTGAGAAGAAACTGTCCTTATTGAAGAACTGTATCTTGAGTTGTTTTTGCTCCTGCATTATAGCCTGTTACTTTCCTAATAAACCCTATAATCATGAGTATTTGTCTGTGAGTTCTGTGTGGCCATTGTAGTGAGTTATCAAACCCATCAGAGAAGTAGAGAGTGCTGTGGAAGGGATGTTGGTGTCAGAATTGGCAAAAGAGTTAAAGGGTGGCATGTCTGACCTCTGTCTTATAGGAACCAGCCTTGGGCTATTGATGTTGACATTGGTCCTCCTCCTCCCTTATGAATTTAGAGGAGATCAGATGCCACCTCTATACCCTTTTTGCAATCTCATAGACATGTGCTGTGTAAAAGGAGTAAAAAAACAAGAGTACATACTGTATGATTCCATTCACACGAAGTTTAAGAAAAGGTTACATTAATATATGGTGAAAGAGGTCAAAAATGTGACTAACTTTGGAGAGGATACTGACTAGGAGAAGGCATGAAGGAGACTTCTGGGAGGATGAGAATGTTATATGTTTTGTTCTGGGTGATGATTGCATGGCATATATGTATGTAAAGAAGCCCTGGTGGTACAATACTTAAGTGCCAGATTACTAATTGAAAAGTCAGTGCTTCAAACCGACCAAGCAGCACTATGGGGAAGAAGACCTGGCCATCTGCTCCCGTAGAGATTACAGCCTAAGAATATTCCATGGGGCAGGTCTAGTCTGTCCTATAGGGTCACTAAGAGCAATCTACTTGAAGGCACAAACTACAGTATGTATATGTAAAGTTTTTGAACTGTGAACATAAGATTGGAGCACTTTATTACAAGTATGCCTCCATTAAGGTGTGAGAAAAGAATCACCTGAGACTTTCCATTTCTGGTAATATTATTACATCCTTGATTAGAGATAATAGTTAGGGACACTTGATGATAAATAAGGCATTCAGTAAGCCCATGATGATGGTGCTGCTGGAAGTATTGTGTGCAGGGAAGGCAAATGTAATTTCAATGAGAACAAATTGCTATCTCCTCCAGGTAGAAGAGATCCAATGCAATCAATCTGCCACCAGGACTTTTTGGGGAAGGGTGCCATATGGTGGGCTCAATATTGATCTCCACTAGCTGGTTAGGCACTCAGCAATGGAAGTATCTATCGGAATCAGCCTTTTTGAGGAGAAGTCCATCTTATGAGCTTTTGTTTAACCTCCATCCCTCCCATCATTTCCACTTTATTGTTAAGCCATTGAATATACACTAAAGCAGCTGGAGAAAGCAACAGAAAAGGTCATCTTGTCAACCTGATAACTGAAAGCCTCTTTTGCACTAACTGCCCATTGGTGGATATTCAGATGGGGCAAAAATATTCTCACCATTTCTGCTCTTCACAAAAGGTCCACTCACATTTTTCTTTCCCAGACTTCCTTGACACCAACCCACCAATCATGTTTTTGTTGTTGTTAGTTGCCATCGAGTTGGCTCCAACTCATAGCAACCCTATGTACAACAGAATGAAACATAATCTTTGCTATACCTGAACCTGTCGTTGCAGCCATTGTGTCAATCCATCTCGTTAAGGGCCTTCTCCTTCCTTGTTGACCCTCCACTACTTTACCAAGCATGATATCCTTCTCCAGGGAATGGTCCCTTCTGACA